GATCTAGGATTTGGGGGTTTAGGGCTTAGGATTGATGCTTTAATTTACGCGAATGGCTTCCTAGCCTAGGACGCCGGGATACAACCTGATTCCGGAAAACACTCCTTCCCGAAACCCTAAACCAGAAATCCTAAACCCTAAGCCCTAAGGCCCTAGTTGCTTAATGTAGGGGCCTTCATAACTAGAGAATGGTTTTGTGAGTTTCTTTGTTATAATTATGGAAAAAATATACCCCCAAACCCTATCCCGACATTATTCGATCAACTGCCTGCAATCCTACAAACCCGAGAAGCTCCGTTAACGGGAGCGGCTTTGTTGGATGTCGAGTTTAGACTCTACGGTTTCTTGGATATATCATGGTAAATAACTCTATAGGAATCAGAAGTTGATGCTATGAAGTATCAATTCTTGTGACTTTTGTAACAGTTTTGTTGGCCGTTTAGTGGTTGAAGCGCCCACAGAGCAGACTAGATGGCCGGCGTTCGGCAAGCGGCAAGCTGTTGATTCCCCTTCTGGTCCTCTACAGGGATCCCCGACCCCGCAGTCAGGTCATTCCCGAAGCTTCCCTAGTGTATATATATATATATATATAGATATAGATATAGATATAGGTATAGATATAGATATAGATATATATATATATATAATATATATGCATATATATATATATATATATTATATATGTCTAGATATAGAAAGCCGCAACACCCTAGACAGTCTTAGCCCTTGTCCATGGCACCCCCGGAGGTTGAAAGCAGCGACAATAGGGACCCTAATGCAGAACCTTAGCTGGTAGTATCATCTGTAAAGGCCCCTAAAGAAGGTTCCATCCTGCCTTTCTGAAGCCTTCATGTGCTGGCAGTTGGGGGGGGGGGGGGTTCCGCGATGCTGAGGTCTGGAACATCGTCAAAGGTGTCCAAGCCTCTGCTAAGGGCTTGGGGCAACTTTCGCAGGATTTGGTAGGGTCTTATACAGGTTTTGCTGTTATTTGTTAGGTTTGATTCGGTCTGGTAAAGGCTTTACGCGGGTTTAATTGAAGCGTACGAGCGCTTAGACTAGATATAGGGGCCTCAACACTCAACACTTGCGTCCCCTGGTTGTTCTTCAGTTGTGTAATGGAGTTGCAGCGTCAACCCGAACCCACAGAGCCCAATACCCCTTGATTAAGGAACATGGCTTAAATCATAATATGAAGCCCTATCTAATTTGAGCCAATTAAGGGGTATTGGGCTCTCTGGGAAGCTTGCTCTGAGCGTGTAGCAATTCTGCTAAGTCTCCAGTTCCCTGTATCTGAGTCATCCGTCTGGTGGGGCGAAAGGGTTCGAAAGCACTGGAGAGGTTGTCAAACTTAGGTGTCGTTTGTTGCGGAGGTCCATATACTAAGACGGTTTAAGTTTTAGGGTTTAGGGTACGGTTTAGGGTTAAGGGGTTACTATGGACAGATGATCTTCTGAACTCCAGCATGTTGGAGCCTAGAGTTTTTGCTTCCGAGTGGTCCTTATGCCGTTGACTCCCAACTACGAAGTCCGAACCGCTTCAGCGTGTGCCTCATGAATGTCTAGCTCGCACACTACGCAGATCAGAGCCCCGAAGCTCCATAGTGGAAAGCCCTTACTTAAAGGATCAGGGGACTTAGTAACTAGGGTTATTATTAAAGTAACTATACTTATAATTACTTATAAGCCCGATTAAGGTACTTATAACCATACTTACCAAGTCCCATGATTCTCCACGTAACCTTGCCTGGTTGGGGTTGCGCATCTGCTTCTTGCAACTCCTGGTTTCGGGAATGGCCAAGGACATGTTGGGGCTGGTTTGCTAGGGAGCCGAAGGCTCACTACCGTCCCTATGGGAGTTTCCGAAACTAGGGGACTCTAATAAATTTCCTAAATAGTAGGATCCTTGTTATAGGGACCCCAAAACAAGGTACCCCTAATTTTCGCAAACTCCCCTACAGCATCAACGACGAGTGGTTCACGAAGGGACCTCTGAACGGCCTGCGGGTTTATCGCTGGGTCTTCGTCGTTGGTCCTTCACTCGTCTCGTAGCTTCGTGTTGGGGACTGGTGCGGAACATTAGGTTCACTCTTCAAGTAGGAAAAGCAGTTGCAAGCACGTGGCGAGATGCCCTCATATCAGCTAGCAGCTTGTCGTGACATCGAAGATTGGAAGCTCTTGGATTCACAGCCCAGCGAGGTTCAAAACAATTGGAACCTTCCGCAGTGGAAACACCATCGTTTGAAGCTCAGTGCCTGCGGCTTCCCCATAGGCTCCATAGTAGTTCCTTTTTGGGGCTCATATTTGGAATCCAAAAGGGTAATCCCCAAAAGGAACTACTGTGGAAACTGCGGCTTCGAGTCCGTTCAGTTACTTCCAGATTCAGGCTGTATCGGTTAGGGTTCCTTACTTCCAGCAAAGTCTATAATGTGTATCCTTTAGGGTCCCTTAATTCCAGTAACGTCTATAATATGTATGGTATAGAAGCCGGGAAAATACGAATAGGAGTCCTGAGGGTTCCTTCATAGTAGATGCCCCCCCGGCTATAGCCTACCCCCCGTCCAAGAGACTATGCTAATGTTGAAGGCCCGTACATAATACTTAAAGGATCATGGGACTTAGTAACTCGGGCTATCACTGAGGTAACTATGTTTCTAGTTACTTATAACCCGAATTAAGGTACTCATACTTACTAAGTCCCATGCTCCTCCAAGTATGTCTTGGACTTTCAAACTGCGTTCCGGTTCCGATGCAGTCGGACCTCGGATCTGGGGGCTTGAGTTGAAGTGGGAGTTTCCGAAAAAAGGGACCCTAATATAGTATAGGGGACCCTAATATAATACCCTAAATAATGGGATCCTTATTATAAGGACCCTAGAATAAGGCACCCCTAGTTTTCGGAAGCTCCCGGGTTCCTGAATGAAATAAGGGTTGGGGTTCGGGGCTTGGACTTCGGACTTGGGGCTTGAGGTTTGGGCTTTTTGGTTTGGGTTTTAGGTTGGTTGGTTGGGTTTAGGGTTTAGGGTTTAGGGTTTAGGGTTTAGGGTTTAGGGGTTAGGGCTTAGGGCTTAGGGTTTAGGGTTTAGGGTTTAGGTTTGGGTTTTTTTACCGGGGAACAGCGCCTAGGCGACCATGCCTTGCGACAAGGCCTGTCCAAAGGAGTGGCCATCCAAATAGTTGGAGTCGGGTTTTGAGATGATCACCGAAACCAGTAGCGGCACACTTGGAAACAAAGGTCCAGTTCCTGTCGGCCGAAACCCGGGAGCACAGCACACCAGTCAAGTAAGATACGCAGCCCCACGTCAGCTCCAACTATCCTACATCACACGCATGCTTTGCGTGAAGTGCTACAGTAAACCCTGAAACGCCTCCCCTGAGCCCTACATTCAACCACCCTATGCCCCCGCTCTCTAGACCCAGGTTGGGAAGAGTTCTTGGAGGTTAGTATCGGTGTGGCGAAGCTTTGCTCAACAGTGGGCTTCGGGTCCCTTTCTTCTTATTGGCTGTAAACTCAACTTTTCAACTTTTGGGGTTCTTATAAGGTGGTCGTTTCTGAAAGTTTCAACTTTTATTTCCTTGGGTTTTGGCCCAGTGAGTTTCGCAGAATGAATGAGTTAGGTTTTGGGAAGGGGGCCTGATTTACAGGGACCTGAAATAAGTATTGCAGATACTCACGCGGCAGTCCTCATGGTTTTTGAATATACTTGTAGTAGAATATATCTACTCCAATCATTCATTGCCTTCTGCTAGGGGTTTAGCAGGAGGTGTCTTCGTCTTTTTGTTTCAGGGAGTGGTGCTCGGGTGTTCAGGGTTGAGTATATGGCTGCTGGGAGCAAGGAGTAGCGCACAGGCTGGAACACGAGTTCCTGGTGGTGTGTTAGTCCAAACCGCTGATCACAAGACCCTAGACTCTTACCCAATCTAAGCCGGAAAACAAACCCTAGCTAACTTGAGCACATGTTTCCGTGCACCACGCCTTCTCCCCGCTTGAATCGGTGAACTTCCACTTGTCCTTGAAACACAAGCTCGACCTCGAACAGCAAACGGAGGGTCTCCAACGAGCGCTTACGGCTTTCGGGCTTGCGGATTGTGTTGCAGCAGTGGCAAGCTGCAATTTTGCGTAGACGGTTTAGTATTCTAGGGTGTACTAATATGCCAAGTCCGAAGAAGAGTCCTTGCCAATCCTAGACCCTATAATCGAAAGTCATGTATTCGAGCTGGTGGAACCACGTCCCTCCAAAAGAGTAGGCCCTAAATCCACCAGTATATCCCTTTATGGCTGCAATTCGGGTGTCTTTCAAGCGTTGGTTTAGGGGAACCAGAGGTAGTACTTTAGGGTTCAGTGTTTTTGGGCCAGGGTTTCGGCTCTAGTGCTTTTTGGGGTTAGGGTAGGACCCTAAACCGAAACCCCAAACCCTATAAATCCTAAACCCGAAACCCTGGTCTCGGATTTTGAGCTTCGCACAATGGCCAAGTTCCAGGATTGTGGTGGAGGTGCTGCTGACCCTTAGAGTCCTTGGAGCCGGTGGCTCAGAGAGGTCCCTTCCCAGGATTCGGAAGCATGTGTGTGTGTGTATATATATATATATATATACAGTTGTATATACAGCTAGATATATGGATATGTATATAATAGATATGTAGAGAGAGAGAGAGAGAGAGCGACATATAGAGATATGTAGATATAGATATAGGTATATATAGATATACGCCTAAATACTTGCCAGGAGTGGCTAACCTAGGCACCTGTTGGGAGAGACGCTGGGGCTATAGGGCTTCTGGTGAGAGGCTTCTTGTTCGGGGTTGTTTTGGGCTGCCGTGCTGTAAGGTTTAAGGAACAGAGCTCCTAGGTAACCTTTAACCTTTTGAGACTTTCCTTAAGTTGGACAATGCTTCTTATCGTCATTTCTGAATGTTCCTTGACAGAGGCATTTCACAGTCTCTGGGTATCGCGCGTGGTTCTCAGGGACGCACATCTAGCCAGCAGTTTGTGCCGTGTTATACATGCTGCGCATCACGCTGCTTAGCGGAGAAGAACTGACGAGCACTCCTGTTGAGGAGGCGCACGATGTGAAGGCCTTGAAGCAACAACTGAACAAGACGTACGGCCTGCCACCGCGATTTAGACAAAGACTGCTTCATGAGGGCCAGACTTTGGATGATGCATTTAATCTGGATTTGCCGATGGACCTGCAGCTAGTGCTCACGACATTCGCCGAGCCGTCCGACAGCCAAAAGGAGCAGCTTTTCTTTGCAGCCAGGGACGGCTTGGTGTCCGAGGTGGGGCTTAAAATAGAGCCCTGAGTACTTGCTTTGTACTCATCTCCTTGTTTGGGCACCTGAAACGTTAGGCCGCGAGCATTGTTTAGGGTTTACTGTAGGGTTTAAGGTTCGGAAAGAGAAAGTCGATTCCGGCCGGGCTTTACGTTAAAGAGGGTCGTGCAAACAGCCGCAAGAAGTGAGAGAGGATCAAACAAGTCAAGAAAGTGCAAAAAAGCAAGGTTATGCAGATTTCCTCCGATCGCCAGAAACCCTAAACCCTAAGCCCTAAACCCTAAACCCCTAAACCCTAAGCCCTAAACCCCCCGAAGCCTAAAGTCCTCAGAAGTCATCAGGTTGAAGCGCTGCTGCAGCTCCCCATGGACCCTGATGCTATGCCGTCGTTCCCCGCTGGCGACGAGTGGAGGAGATGCGTAGTAGCGAGCTAATCGATCCTGAATTCAGCGAACCCACAGCGCTGATTCTGGCGGCAAGAATGAATCACCCAGAAGTCGTGCAGCTGCTGCTGGAGGCTGGTGCGACAGTCAACTGCGCTAATCCGTATCATGGTGCTCACGAGTATGTTTGTGCCCTTCTGTTTCGAGGGGGGATGGCTTTGCGAGGGCTGAATAACAGGAAAAAGGGGATAATTACTGGCAACCTCAGGTGTGGATGGACAGCACTGCTGAGTGCGTCAAAAGGCAGTGGTGCTCAGGTCGTGCAGTTGCTCCTAGAGGCAGCTGCAGACGTGAACTACGTGAACTATGAGCCTTGGGGGGATGACGAGGAATCGGAGTATTGTCGCTGGTGGAACTGCGGATGCACAGCATTGATGCTCGCAGCAGAAAGCGGTTGCGCTCAAGTCGTGCAACTGCTCCTAGAGGCAGGTGCTCACGTGAACTGGGCCAATAGGCATGGATCGACGGTATTGATGGAGGCGACACGAAACGGTGAAGCCCTAATTGTGCAAATGCTCCTAGAGGCAGGTGCTCACGTGAACGCAGCCGATGTGCGTGGATCGACGGCTTTGACGAGGGCAAGGGCGACAAGAAGTAATTGTGACCAAATCATACAAATACTTCTAGAGGCAGGTGCTCAGTGCTCAGACGGATAGGGAGTGCGGCGAGAGCTGAACCGCCCGAGATCTGGTGAACAACACCGTGCCTTCAACCAACCCAGAGCCTCGACAACCCCTTAATTACCGAATATGCCTTAAATCATAAGAGGATCCTTAGTATGATTTAAGGTGTATATATATATATATATATATATATATATATATATCCGTTACTTAGGGTATCCTACTATGGTTTAAGGTATCTATTCCTTAGAATTCATGGGTTTCGGAGGCTCTGGGGGAAGTTTCTTGACTGAGGGGCCGGTTGCAACGCTGACAGAAAGATGCTCAGCTCAGGTCTTTTGAGGGTTTAGGGGTTAGGGGTTTAGGGGTTTATTATTTAGGTTTAGGGTTTAGGGTTTAGGGTTTGGGGGTTAGGGTTTAGGGGTTAGGGTTTAGGGGTTAGGGTTTAGGGTTTGGGGTTAGTGGTTAGGGTTTAGGGTTTGGGGTTTAGGGGTTAGGGTTTAGGGGTAGGTTTTAGGGGTTAGGGTTTAGGGTTGATGAAAGTCTTGCCAGTCCCCTTAGTAGCTGAGTGGGTGGCCTTTATCCTTTTGGGGTTGAATATAGGGCCCTTAACAATTGGAACAGGGTGTTGGGGGTCCATTTTATTATAAGTATGATAAGGAACCCCGAACTTGTGTAGGTAATTTTGTAAGGCCCCTATATTATGTAATCCCACCATAGATTGAAAAGGTTGACCTTTTTGGGGCTGGGATACTCAGCCCCCGACTCCCTGAACCTGAAAGTCTCGCCAGTCTTGAAGCTAGGATGCCCAGTAGTACCCTTATTCCCTTTTTGTAGTCCTAGGTTCCTTATAAAGTTACCCAATACCAAAAACAGAGCCCTTTTTATTCGTAGGTTACTGGGCATCCTAGGGAGCCTTCAGCCTTAAATTCCACTACCATTAGAGGGTTTACCTTAATGAAGGACCTCAGGGTTCCTGTAAAGGGATCTGTCGGGGTACCTTGAAGGTGTTCCTGTAAGGGACCTATAGGGTTGTGGGGACTAGGGTTTCGGTTGTAGGAACCTGGTTAATTAAGCAACCTGGGGCCTTTATTGAGTGAATCCTACTATTCAGGGGTTATAGGGCCCAGGGTTGCTTAATCATGTTCCTACATTACCATCCGCAAATATTGACCTCTTGGCGCAATTCCTAAGCCAACTTACCCTGAGCACAAACTATGGGAACTTTTGCACAGCATACGGTTGATGGTATAAATCCTGCATTACCCATGATAAGGACTATACCATAGCTCCTATAGTCTAAGGACTATACCATAGCTCCTATAGTCTAGGGTCATGAAGGTAATGCAGGATTTATATCATCAACCGTATTGATGCAGGACTCAAGGTTTTGTCCATCATTGTATTTCTCGTGTTGCTTTCATATCCGGAGTCCGCGCTAGACCGCTCGACGTCCTGCCGGGCATCCAAGATAGCACCAACCCTGAACCATACACCCAGAGTATGGTCATCAATGTGGGTTTTCTGGCTTAGCAAGTCAGGTTGTAAAGTTCTTTAAGTGGGGTTAGTTATTAATTAGTAGTTTCAACCTAGTTACCTGCTTGATTTATAAACCCAGTTACTAAGTCCAACGATCCTTGAGGTATAGACCCTAAGCCCTCAAGGCTAAACCCAAACCCTGCAGAGGGTGAGCCCGAAACCCTGAACCTCACAGCCTGCGCTTCAAAAAAATCGGCGTCAAGAGACAGCATTGGACTAGGGCTTGGGGTTTGGAGCGTAGAGTTTGGGGTTTAGGGCCGTTGCGGTATGCCCCTAAACCCTGAGGCCTATCGCAGAGCAGAGTGGGATATTCCAAGCAAGGCTTCAACCCGAGGTCAGAACTTCTTCAGCAAGTAATGGTAGGGATTAGGTTCCTGAGGATCTATAAGGGTTCTAAAAAGGGATCTATAGGGTTCCTTTAACGGATCTTAAAAAGGGTTCCTTAAAACCCGAACACTCTGAGGGCTCATATATCAAGGCTTTTGGGCCCAAAGACCAAACTATATGAGGCTTCTGGGCTATTTTGACCCCTAGGGAATAATTGCCGATACTATTTGGGGGTTGTAAGGGTTAGACCCCAGATAATTACGGCTACTATTTCGGGGGATATATGTATAGGGTTTAGACATTAAACCATGAAGTATTGAAGCCTACCCTTTGGCATACTAGTATGCTGCTCTGCAGGCCTCCTGTTGTTTGGATTGTCATGCGCTTCTTTGCCAAAGACTCCACAATTCCTTCTATTCAGAAAAGCCCTTCAACGAAATGCTGCTAGGAAGCCTCGAAAATGCTCTGTGGCATAGTCCTGAAAAATGGATTTTTAGAGTCTCTGGATTCCTACAACATAGGTCTAGCCCGTTGGTCTAAGCTCTAAGTCTAAACCCCAAAGCCTTGCATCCGGTAGCCACGAAAGAGAAGCCCTGAAGCAGCAATACAAGACTAACGACCCTAAACCCTGACCCCTTCCTACTGCTGATGGACAAAATCCTGCATGACCCTTAGGACTCTAAACTATGGGAATTGTGGCATATTCCTTATAATGGGTAATGCAGGATTTTGTCCATCAACAGTAGTAGTGGATTAGGTACCTATATAAACAAAAAGGTTAACCTTTTGTTCCCCATGATACCCGACAGGGACCCCTTAAACCCTGAGCCCTAAATGGGAGTTTCCGAAAACAGGGGACCCTAATATAGTACCCGAAATAGTAGGATCCTTATTATAAGGTGTCAAAAATGTGGTACCCCTAATTTCGGAAACTCCTAAATCACCACAACCCTGAGTTCCTAACTCCCAAAACAGTTGAACTCTGCCGAAGGTCCGCGACTTCTTCGCAAACGGCTGGTGTATCTTCGACGCGCTGATGCCTCGGCAGATATAAGAAAGAAGCTTAGCTAAGTACCGATATTATTTCTTAGGGTTCCTTATTATAAGCATACTATAGAGGAGCCCAAAACCCCATTCTAATTATGAAAACCCATACAGTGTGCATGTTGCTTGAGGGTTGGAAAGGCAAAGGCAGCAGAGTCGATCCGGGCTGCGGCATTCGGTTTAGGGTTTAGGGTGGTCTTTTGGGTGTTGCATATAGCGCCATGTTTTTACCATGGCTTCTAGAGATCGTCCCTAAACCCTAAACCCTGCTTCTAGAGATACTAGATGATACGAAACATCGCTCGGCGCATGTTCTGTGTCTCCACAGGGTTTGTGACGACCCTGGGTTGCAAAGAGCGGCAAACCCTAGGGATAAAAATAGCCCAAAAGCCTTACATAGTATGTGGTCTTTGGGCCCAAAAGCCTTAATATATATATATATATATATATATATACATATATATATATATATATATGAGTCCTTAGGTCCCTAGGGAAACACATCTTATGTGTGTGTGTGTGTGTGTGCGTGTCTCGACTCTCCAGTCCCTCCAGCCCAAAGCCAAACCCCTTAAACTCCAAAACCTCAACCCGAAACCCAAGTCCCTAGGTAGATCCTTTTAAAGGAGCCCTTATAGATCCCTTATAGGATCCCTTTAAGCCCTAAACAAAACGAAAACAGTGGCTTGCGTGCAGAGCAGATGCGGCTCAAGATTTAGAGTTTAGGGATGGTTTAGGGTTTAGGGTTCGGCAAGCCTTATAGGATCTTTTGCGACTCCTGCAAGACCTTCGCCTGACCCTAAACCACTGGACCATCTTCCGAGTAGACAACCTTTAACCTTTTTGGGGTTATATACCCTATTCCCCGTAGCTATATAGTCATCTAATTCCTTGGGATGCTGGATAACTAGGTCTTCATTTCTGTAAGGATCGTCGCGGTGCTGACGGTCGCCTCTGACTCAGATCGCATCTTCGGAGGTCCATGTTGGCACTGTACGAGAGCTTTAAAACAGCGTGAAACGTGTTCAACACCGTTGTCATGCACCGGACGCTGGTTTCAGGATTTGTGAGCTTTTTACAGTAGCAGTAGAAGCCAGAAAGTTGGAATATCATTATCGTAACCCCTTTTAAGGTAAATTTTAGGGGATCCTACCATTAATCCATATTCCAACTTTCTGGAGTTCCCTTTAGGGGTTGAGGTTTAGAGTTTGCGAGTCATGAGTCCTCTAAACGGTGATACATTGCTTGTAACTCTACCAACATATTGGGTCAGAGTGGATGGTCCCCACTCCAAAAGCTTTCGAAATGGGATCTACCGGGAGGGCTTGCAATCCGATAGAAAAGGCATCTAAAAAGATCTTGACTATCAGGGATGGGTGGTGCTGTATATGGCTTTGCAGGCTCAAGGGCTGCGAGTCGGGTGTAGTCAGTCCTCTTATGTCTTGATGTGGGTGTTAC